GGTTTGACTTTGGATCTCCCTGGCTAGTTAGGGACCGTCAATAAATTCTGCATTTTCCCACCAGAGATGTGTTTGACTTGTTGCAGATAAAAGGCTGTGCGTGATGATATAGTGCACATAAAAATAACTTTTGTCATTAAATTCCCATGTACCGAATTAGAAATACAAGTTAAATGGTTCCATTGCATTTTCAACTCTACTGATGGATTTGTCACAAAAAATGTTTTAGTTAAATATGTTGTATTATATATAGAATGTGCACACTCTGGTCTTGGCATGTACGCTCTAGCCAACAGCTCCCAGATACAGTGCAGGTAGGCTACCTACATGATGAAATTATTATGGACAAAAGAGCAAGATTATTTTTATTTGTTAAATGGCAGCCAAGCATCGATCATCATGTCACCAGAATAAGACCCTCAGTATTTATTGGAAAGGAGCTCATCACCGTGCACGTTCACCACCCTGTGAAGTTCATCATAATTTATTTCATCTGTAGCCTAATAAACTGCATGCGTTCCTTAGTCGTAGTGGGAGGACCACACACCATACCATCACGTGACTCCAAGTTGACTTCGATATGATGGTTACTATATAAATATTTGCACATTAAGGCGTTTCCACCACCATTTCTCACATAATTAATTTTACAGACACAAATAAATACCACCTTGTCTAGCGTATTTTAGTTTATCGACAAATGTCATGTTTCCATCATGCCTGTCGTGACATTCTTTATCCGAGATGGACTTTACTCGCATAAAAAGGTTGGACGGAAACCTGATTATTGTAAACAATGTAATATGTTAATTAATAAGTGTCACAAATGTAAATGACAAAATAAGGTATCACCAACTTTATTATAGTTCATCAGACTTTATATTCTAGCAACAACAGCCAGTTAACCTTTTATTAAAGGTGAGATATTGTTGAGATATCCACACAGAGTCGCTGTATGCAGTGAATCTAAGTTAAATGAATGGGCCACAGTGTGTGTGTGTGTGTGTGTGTGTGTGTGTGTGTGTGTGTGTGTGTGTGTGTGTGTGTGTGTTTGTTTATGTACTGTGTAAGCATATTGGCTTGGTGGTCCCATCTTAGACAAAGATAATAAAAACAGAAGTTGGCATTATGTCAAGGTTACTTAATGCATGGCGACAACCAACCAAGTCAAGCACCAGCATGAAGGGACTGGGTCCTAGCATAACCCCACTGAAGCTGAACCTATACCAAATAATACTGGTATAGGGAAACCAGGCACAAGTAGTCTACAGATGTAGGATCTTAATTTGAGCCAGTTTGCTACAGCAGAAAAATTATCCTGCAGCAACAGGAACTTTGAATTATTATGTGGATTATAATGTATGGACATTTTTTGTAGGGGTTGATACATTTTTCATTAGGGCAAATCAAGTCTGAAATTTTAAACTGGAAATTACAAACTTTAGAAGCCTTTTTAAACCTAAAATTCCTGCAACAACAGGATGATCAAATTAAGATACGGCATATGTAGGCCTATATGCTTCTAGAAGGGTAAGTGTGTCTGGAAATACATTCAGTGCTATGTGTCAGCATTTGATACCTTTACATTACATGCCAAAGTTCACATCATAATCCAATAATAAAATAAAATAAACCTTTTGCATATAATTTGCATAAAACAAATTCTGTCATATTGACTCAGTGTCGCACTGCAAACAAACTATGGCACTCTATAGTGGAGTCATCTTGTTACTAAATGTAGTCCCTTAAAGTGACACACAACAGTCACAAGTGAGTGACTCAGAAATAAACAGACTGTGTGGGAGATTTCAGTAGCTAGGAAATTAAACCTAAAAGAGACCGGAACCCACTCTTAAAGCAGTTTAAACGTATGTACGGCAAAGTGAATACTGAACTTTATTGAACTGAAGCCTAAATGCGACTGTGCTCCATTTTATACAGTCACTTGATTGACGTTGCATGCTTGATTGAAGACGACTGCACAAACTGACAATGGGTGTGACTATATATGATGAATGACCAGGTTATTGTGCTTTCCTATAGAGTGTGCTGAATATCGTATATTATCAGATTCCCCTTTTACACATGGCCCAAGCAAGCCTCTGGCACAGGGAAACACATCAATTTAGCTTGGCTCTGCTCCCCTGTTATACAGTACCTTATGCAATAGATGGGGGAATGTGTAGAGAAAGACCTTTTGGAAATATGTGTAACAGGTTCGCTCACAGTACAGATGCAGCATAATCATTACTTCCTATAAGAATTAAACGTAACTATTGAGCTATGTTTTTGGATCAATAAGGGCAATTCATAATGATGATATAACCGTATCTTCTTAGGTCTGACACACACAGAGGGCCTGACTTACCAAGCATTTGTACTAGCGCAAAATTGTACAGGTTATTTTTCCAGAGAGAACCAAACACAACGATTTAAACCAAAAGGTAAAATAAAGGTAAGAGAAATGTTTCAATTTTTTTCATTTTGTTCCCTTGTATGAACTCACAGGTGCAGTCTTAAGAAAGGTGCAAATGTTTAGTAAATCTGACCCTTGACCTTAGGCCCTACTTTAGCTCTACCTGTGCTCAATATAAATATTATTTTCAGAAAATAAATAGAGAGATGAGAAACAATCTGTGGAAATTGTTGTTGAATTATTAGCTTGTGAAACCAGTGTATATTGAACAATGCAAAAGCCTTTCAGACATCGAGATTTAAAAAAGTAGCATTTCTTCCAATCAAAACCCATCAGACGATAATCTCTTGACAAAACTGTAGAAAATGTCTTCAACCAGAGAGGTCAGCTTGGAGTTCCTTGTTTCTACGGACCTCAGCGGCATGGATTTCCTGTGATAGAACAAAACGAAAGTTAGAAAGAAATTGCAATACGATACTGCAATAGAAATTAATTTAGATATTCCCACTGTTGACCTCTATTCCCTGTATGTTGTAGCCTTTTACACATGAATTGACTTTGCTTTGTGCTATGATTTGCGGAGACTGTTCCTATCTGTTTGTCATGTCATTCAATTGAGAGATACATACAGTGCCTTGGCGTTTTTCCTATTTTGTAGCATTACAACCTGTAATTTAAATAGATTTTTATTAGGATTTCATGTAATAGACATACACAAAATAGTCCAAATTGGTGAAGTAAAAAAATCAAAAAAACTGGTCTAAAAAATTTTACAAAATAAATAACGGAAAAGTGGTGCGTGCATATGTATTCACCCCCTTTGCTATGAAGCCCCTAAATAAGATCTGGTGCAACCAATTACCTTCAGAAGTCCCATAATTAGTTAAATAAAGTCCACCTGCGTGCAATATAAGTGTCACATGAGCTGTCACATGATCTCAGTATATATACACCTGTTCTGAAAGGCCCCAGAGTCTGCAACACCACTAAGCAAGGGGCACCACCAAGCAAGCGGCACCATGAAGACCAAGGAGCTCTCCAAACAGGTCAGGAACAAAGTTATGGAGAAGTACAGATCAGGGTTGGGTTCTAAAAAAATATCAGAAACTTTGAACATCCCACGGAGCACCATTAAATCCATTATAAAAAAATGGAAAGAATATGGCACCACAACAAACCTGCAAGAGAGGGCCGCCCACCAAAACTCACGGACCAGGCAAGGAGGGGCAACAAAGAGACCAAAGATAACCCTGAAGGAGCTGCAAAAGTCCACAGCGGAGATTGGAGTATCTGTCCATAGGACCACTTTAAGCCGTACACTCCACAGAGCTGGGCTTTATGAAAGAGCGGCCAGAAAAAAGCCATTGTTTAAAGAAAAAAAATAAGCAAACACGTTTGGTGTTCGCCAAAAGGCATGTGGGAGACTCCCCAAACATATGGAAGAAGGTACTCTGGTCAGATGAGACAAAAATTGAGCTTTTTGGCCATCAAGGAAAACGCTATGTCTGGCGCAAACCCAACACCTTTCATCACCCTGACAACACCATCCCCACAGTGAAGCATGGTGGTGACAGCATCATGCTGTGGGGATGTTTTTCAATCGCATGGACTGACTGGGAAACTGGTCAGAATTGAAGGAATGATGGATGGCGCTAAATAGTATTCTAGAGATTTGAGACTGGGAAGGAGGTTCACCTTCCAGCAGGACAATGACCCGAAGCATACTGCGAAAGCAACACTCGAGTGGTTTAAGGGGAAACATTGAAATGTCTTGGAATGGCCTAGTCAAAGCCCAGACCTCAATCTAATTGAGAATCTGTGGTTTGACTTAAAGATTGCTGTACACCAGCGGAACCCATCCAACTTGAAGGAGCTGGAGCAGTTTTGCCTTGAAGAATGGGCAAAAATCCCAGTGGCTAGATGTGCCAAGCTTATAGAGACATACCCCAAGAGACTTGCAGCTGTAATTGCTGCAAAAGGTGGCTCTACAAAGTATTGACTTTGGGGGGGTGAATAGTTATGCACGCTCAAGTTTTCTGTTTTTTTGTCTTATTTATTGTTTGTTTCACAAAAAAAATTATTTTGCATCTTCAAAGTGGTAGGCATGTTATGTAAATGAAATGATACAAACCCCCAAGAAAAATGCCAAGGGGGGTGAATACTTTCGCAAGCCACTGTATGAGCGCAGATAGATAGAACCATAACCTCGTAGAATTGTTCTTAAGAAGGACAAGACATGGTCCAAGTCCTTCCTCTATTCTTCAAGTTTCAACCTCAACTGCCATCCAAAATCTGATTGCTTCTGCATTTAGCAATGCTAAATTGATGGCTTGCCAATGATGTTACAGAATGGTATTCAGTTACAGACTGGCATTCAGGCTAATACTTTCATGCTATTGCATTTCATCCTGTTGTCACACAGGCTAGGTCATCCGCACTCCTCCAGTAGGTATTCACATTGCATATGTCTATGTCCTCCTTGTTTTAACCATTACAGTAGCCCCCTAAACCAAAGAGCACCTCCAACCCTGCCTTTGATACTCTCTACTCGGTACCCACATAACGCTCCACGTCTTTCATTTCTCTAGACTAGGCCATAGCTTTGAATGACAGTCAGTGGGCAATTGACCTTCTCCCGGAGCCGCTGCTTGAGTGCGTTCAGGTGGGCCTCGCGGTTCTCTTTGTTGACCTCCATCTTGTAGTTGAGCTTCTCCTCTGCCATCTTGCTGAAGTTGTTGTTCTCCTCCAGGGCCTTGAGGAGCACCTCTCGCTCATGCTCCCTCTTCTCAGCCAGCTGCTTCAGGAGCAGGGCCTCCTGAGACTGCAGAGAGAGACGAGTGAGAGAGATGGTGAAGAGGGAGAAACAGAGAGAGGGGAGTGAGGAAGAGGGATAGATGATGAGAAAGATTGAGAAGAGGGAGAGTGAGAAGAATTGAGGGGTGAAATATATATTGGTGAAAGAGATATTGCAGAGACCCATTCTCTGTCATGTTCTCTGTTTACCTTCCTCCTCTCCTCCGCAGCCTCTAGCCTCTTCTGGAGCTCCTCCAGGGAGAGGTCCTTCTTGGGTGGAGAGAGCAGGGGCTGGGGCCTGTCAGGAGAGAGGTCTGCGGGGGACTTCAGAATGACCTCAAAGGCCTGGCCGGACGCCCGCTTGTTTAGGGACTTCACCTCCATGTCTGTGGAGGACAGCAGGTATTAGGGAAGTAAGGATGTGCAGACAGACAGAGACAGACAGAGAGACAAAGAGCGAAGGTGGGTGGATGGATGGACAAACCATAGAATTACATTCTGTATATAATTATATGATCTCTATGGGACACAGACAAACCCACAGAGCTCTTCACCACGAACCTCCACATTGGTAGAGGCTGTTGGGATGTGGTTGTGAGTAGAAGCAGGAGCAGATCAGAGACAGCATGGACATCTCTTTGATCTTGTCCGAGTAGGCTGGAAAAGAGGGAGAGGAGAAGACAGAGTGAGAAAAGATATCCACAGTTATCCATGCATCCACTTTTAAATTGGCATCTGGCATTTGTTGTGAATGATACAGTCATTTTGCATTTGCTAAACTGCGCTGATATTGTCAAATGACTAGATATTGTATGCGCAAAAGGTCTAATGCGAAAAGGTTGAATTCAGGCACATAACAAATGACTGTATGGCAGGAGGTATGGCATGAATATTTGGGGGGTTTAATCCCATCTTCCAGTAACATTGAGAGAATTCTCAATTATTCATATGTAGACTTTAATCTCTGGTTTTCACTTCACCCACTGGGACTGTGCAGTGTGTGTGTGTGTGTGTGTGTGTGGGTGTGGTGGGTTACATGCCCACAGTTTATCCACGGGGACTGTAGAGTGTGTGTGGCAGATTGTGTCCAAGTGTGTATGTGTTAAGGTTCAATACCAGTGACCGCATGGCTGGATATATGCAGGGGCTTACCGGGGCTGAAGCCCCTTGGCCCAGGCCTGTGGGGGGCCCAAGAGGCAGCCCAAAAATATACACTACCATTCAAGGGTTTTTCTTTATTTGTACTATTTTCTACATTGTAGAATAATAGTGAAGAAATCAAAACTATGAAATAACACATATGGAATAATGTAGTAACCAATTTTTTTTTAAACAAATCAAAATATACTTTATATTTCAGATTCTTCAAAGTAGCCACCCTTTGCCTTGATGACAGCTTTGCACACTCTTAGCATTTCCTCAACCAGCTTCACCTGGAATGCTTTTCCAACAGTCTTGAAGGAGTTCCCACATATGCTGAGCACTTGTTGGCTGCTTTTCCTTCACTCTGCAGTCCAACTTATCCCAAACCATCTCAATTGGGTTGAGGTCAGGTGATTGTGGAGGTCAGGTCATCTGATGCAGCACTCCATGACTCTCCTTCTTGGTCAAATAGCCCTTACACAGCCTGGAGGTGTGTTTTGGGTCATTGTCCTGTTGATAAACAAATGATAGTCCCACTAAACGCAAACCAGATGGGATGGCGTATCGCTGCAGAATGCAGTGGTAGCCATGCTGGTTAAGTGTGCCTTGATTTCGAAATAAATCACTGACAGTATCACCAGCAAAGCACCCCCACACCATCACAACTCCTCCTCCATGCTTCATGGTGGGAACCACACATGCAGAGATCATCCATTCACCTACTCTGCGTCTCACAAAGACACAGCGGTTGGAACCAAAAATCTCAATTTTGGACTCATCAGACCAAAGGACAATTTTCCACCGGTCTAATGTCCATTGCTCGTGTTTCTTGGCCCAAACAAGTCTCTTCTTCTTATTGGTGTCCTTTAGTAGTGGTTTCTTTGCAGCAATTCGACCATGAAGGCCTGATTCACGCAGTCTCATCTGAACAGTTGATGTTGAGATGTGTCTGTTACTTGCACTCTGAACCATTTATTTGGGTTGCAATTTCTGAGGTTGGTAACTGCAGCAGAGGTAACTCTGGGTCTTCCTTTCCTGTGGCGGTCCTCATGAGAGCCAGTTTCATCATAGCGCTGATGGTTTTTACGACTGCACTTGAAGAAACTTTCAAAATTCTTGGAATTTTCTGGATTGACTGACCTTCATGTATTAAAGTAATGATGGACTGTCGTTTCTCTTTGCTTATTTGTTCTGACCATAATATGGACTTGGTATTTTATCAAATAGGGATATCTTCTGTATACCACCACTACCTTGTCACAACACAACCGATTGTCTTAAATGCATTAAGAAGGAAAGAAATTCCACAAATTAACTTTTAACAAGGGACAACTGTTAATTGAAATGCATTCCAGGTGACTACCTCATGAAGCTGGTTGAGAGAATGCCAAGATCCAGAGCATCCCAAACATGCTAAATGAGTGACATGTCTGGTGAGTATGCAGGCCATGGAAGAACTGGGACATTTTCAGCTTGCGGGAATTGTGTACAGATCCTTGCGACATGAGGCTGTGCATTATAATGCTGAAACATGAGGTGATGGCAGCGGATGAATGGCACAACAATGGGCCTCAGGATCTCGTCACAGTATCTCAGTGCATTCAAACTGCCATCGATAAAATGCATTTGTGTTTGTTGTCCATAGCTTATGCCTGCCCATACCATAACCCACCTGCCACCATGGGGCATTCTGTTCACAATGTCTGCCATCTCCCCAGTACAGTTGAAACCGTGATTCATCCGTGAAGAGCACACTTCTCCAGTGTGCCAGTGGCCATCGAAGGTCAGCATATGCCCACTTAAGTCGGTTACAACGCCGAACTGCAGTCAGGTCAAGACCCTGGTGAGGACAACAAGCACGCAGATGAGCTTCCCTGAGAAGGTTTCTGACCGTTTGTGCGGAAATTCTTTGGTTGTGCAATCCCACAGTTTCATCAGCTGTCCGGGTGACTTGTCTCAGATGATCCCGCAGGTGAAGAAGCTGGAAGTGGAGGTACTGAGCTGCCGTGGTTACACGTGGTCTTCCTTCCTATCGACTCTTCCTCACTGTGCTTTGGCTCATGTACTATTTACGTAGCGTCAGTGATCATGATTCGACACGTCACAGAGCTATCCCTTTCAGGTTCGGTTGGGTTGTGCACTGTGAACCAACACTTGTGAGGAGACTTTGCTCAAAAAAAAATTTGCGGCAGGGCCCACACGCAACACACGTAACCGGCACCTCATGGTAGCAAGAATGGCCTCAACATGACTTAACTTGGCTGAGTTCATCAAGTTCATTCCTCTCTGTAGCAGATTTAAACTCCTTCCTAGAAAATACGCTCTGTATCTGTATAAAATAAAGAGAGATCGTCATTGATGTGTGACGGGGGTCCATGTGCTGCTAACAGCTTAGCTTCCTCCACTGTCCGACTGCCCCTGTCCGGGCTCGAATCAGTTATCCTCTGCTTCGCCAAACACGTGACCGCCTTCCTTGACAACGTTCCAATGGTTTGAGCTACCGAAAAATATCTAATTCGATAGCTCCATCCGTGACATTTCAAGCTTGCTGTGGAGTAAAGTTACGGTACGTTCTTAACTCCTTTACACATGCAAAACAAAATGAGGTTCGAGGAGTGTCTAAATGTTCCATATGCTATATGTCACAGTGCTAGAGTTGGACATACCGATAGGCCCACTACTGACTAACAACATGACACTGTATAAACATGATAACCTCATCATAAAACCTCTCTAGTTAGTGCACGAACAGCACATATTGTCTTTTCTTTGGCTTGGCTAATAATTATTATGCACAGAGATGAAGAAGCAAAGAGGATTCACTCTCGCCAAAATCTGTCCAAAATAACCCCACTGCATTTCTATGGGCTTATTTTGGACCTAAGCTTGTTGCCTACCTTCCCGCCTTTTGGACAACCACTCCCATTGTTAGGGCAGAGACATCAGCATCTCATCATTATATACAGATCTCTGCTATGCATCTGACTGCCCAACATACACTATGACAATGAAGTGTATGTTGATAGAACTGCCAAAGGGGGTGGAGTTGCAATCTACTGTAGAGATAGCCTGCAGAGCTCTATCATACTATCTAGGTCTGTGCCCAAACAGTTTGAGCTTCTACTTCTAAAAATCCACCTTTCCAGAAATAAGTCTCTCACTGTTGCCGGTTGCTACAGACCCCCCTCAGCCCCCAGCTGTGCCCTGGACACCATATGTGAATTGATTGCCCCCCATCTATCCTCAGAGTTCGTACTGCTTGGTGACCTAAATTGGGATATGCTTAACACCCCGGCCATCCTACAATCTAAACTAGATGCCCTCAATCTCACACAAATTATCAACGAACCTACCAGGTACAACCCTAAATCCGTAAACATGGGTACCCTCATAGATATCATCCTGACTAACTTACCCTCTAAATACACCTCCGCTGTCTTCAACCAGGATCTCAGCGATCACTGCCTTATTGCCTGCGTCCGTAACGGGTCCGCGGTCAAACGACCACCCCTCATCACTGTCAAACGCTCCCTAAAACACTTCAGCGAGCAGGCCTTCCTAATTGACCTGGCCCAGGTATCCTGGATGGATATAGATCTCATTCCGTCAGTAGAGGATGCCTGGTTGTTCTTTAAAAGTAATTTCCTCTCAATCTTAAATAAACATGCCCCATTCAAAAAATACAGAACTAAGAACAGATATAGCCCCTGGTTCTCCTCAGACTTGACTGCCCTTGACCAGCACAAAAACATCCTGTGGCGTACAGCATTAGCATCAAATAGCCCCCGCGATATGCAACTTTTCAGGGAAGTTAGGAACCAATATACACAAGCAGTTAGGAAAGCAAAGGCTAACTTTTTCAAACAGAAATTTGCATCCTGTAGCACTAACACCAAAAGGTTTTGGGACACTGTAAAGTCCATGGAGAATAAGAGCACTTCCTCCCAGCTGCCCACTGCACTGAGGCTAGGAAACACTATCACCACCGATAAATCTACAATAATTGACAATTTCAACAAGCATTTTGCTACGGCTGGCCATGCTTTCCACCTGGCTACCACTACCCCGGCCACCAGCTCTGCACCCTCCGCTGCAACTTGCCCATGCCCCCCCCCCCCCGCTTCTCCTTCACACAAATCCAGACAGCTGATGTTCTGAAAGAGCTGCAAAATCTGGACCCCTACAAATCATCTGGGCTAGACAATCTGGACCCTTTCTTTCTAAAACTAGCCGCTGAAATTGTCGCAACCCCTATTACTAGCCTGTTCAACCTCTCTTTCGTAACGTCTGAGATCCCCAGAGATTGGAAAGCTGCCACGGTCATCCCCCTCTTCAAAGGGGGTGACACTCTAGATCCAAACTGTTACAGACCTATATCCATCCTGCGAAGTTTTTGAAAGCCAAGTTAACAAACAGATCACCGACCATTTCGAATCCCACCGTACCTTCTCCGCTATGCAATCTGGTTTCCGAGCTGGTCATGGGTGCACTTCAGCTCGCTCAAGGTCCTAAACGATATTATAACCGCAATCGATAATATACAGTACTGTGCAGCCGTCTTCATCGACCTGGCCAAGGCTTTCGACTCTTGTCAACCAC